TGTTACTATATTGCGGGCAGATATAAATAATAAATGAAACCAAAGCAAATCAATAAAATAAATCAATAAATAAATAAATAAATCACAGTCCAGTAATGGTGCTCGCTGATTCCCAGTGCAAAAGTTAGAAATGCGCACTAACCAGAAACGTATTAATAATACGCATGTGTATATGATATCATGGAGATTCCCCTCTTTTCTGGTCTGGTAATTGGCAGGAGCTGAAGATAGTAGAGATGAAGCGCCCTCGTGTGGCAAAATGGAGGTCCAGCAGGTCACAGAAATCCTTACAGAAGTGTGTGAAGTGGAAAATTCCTCCTCTCAAGAGAATTTTCTGTGACACTGGGAATCAGCGAGCACCATTACTGGACTGTGATTTATTTATTTATTTGCTTTGGTTTCATTTATTATTTATATCTGCCCGCAATATAGTAACATCACACAGCGCTGCATTTTCTTTATATATATCATAAATATTGCTGCCAGACTCATCCACCTTACTAACCGTTCTGTATCTGCCACCCCTCTCTGCCAATCCCTCCACTGGCCTCCATTCAGTGTCCTCCACCCCTCTCTGCCAATCCCTCCACTGACCTCCTCTCAGTGTCCTCCACCCCTCTGCCAATCCCTCCACTGGCCTCCACTCAGTGTCCTCCACCCCCTCTCTGCCAATCCCTCCACTGGCCTCCATTCAGTGTCCTCCACCCCTCTCTGCCAATCCCTCCACTGACCTCCTCTCAGTGTCCTCCACCCCTCTGCCAATCCCTCCACTGGCCTCCACTCAGTGTCCTCCACCCCTCTCTGCCAATCCCTTCACTGACCTCCTCTCAGTGTCCTCCACCCCTCTCTGCCAATCCCTCCACTGGCCTCCACTCAGTGTCCTCCACCCCTCTCTGCCAATCCCTCCACTGGCCTCCACTCAGTGTCCTCCATCCCTCTCTGCCAATCCCTCCACTGGCCTCCACTCAGTGTCCTCCACCCCTCTCTGCCAATTCCTCCACTGGCCTCCATTCAGTGTCCTCCACCCCTCTCTGCCAATCCCTCCACTGACCTCCTCTCAGTGTCCTCCACCCCCTCTCTGCCAATCCCTCCACTGGCCTCCACTCAGTGTCCTCCACCCCCCTCTGCCAATCCCTCCACTGTCCTCCACTCAGTGTCCTCCATCCCTCTCTGCCAATCCCTCCACTGGCCTCCACTCAGTGTCCTCCACCCCTCTCTGCCAATCCCTCCACTGGCCTCCATTCAGTGTCCTCCACCCCTCTCTGCCAATCCCTTCACTGGCCCCTATTCAGTGTCCTCCACCCCTCTCTGCCAATCCCTCCACTGGCTTCCCATTGCCTAATGGATAAAATTCAAAACATTAATAACATATAAAACCATTTATAACTCCGCCCCAAATTACATCAGCTCCCTTGTCTCCTCCTCCCATGATCATCTCCAGGACTTCTCCAGAGCCTCCCCCATCCTCTGGAACTCTCTAACCCAATCTATCAGACTATCGCCTACTCTGCTCACTTTTAGGTGATCTCTGAAAACCGATCTCTTCAGGGAAGTCTATCCTGCCCTCAGCTAATAATGGAATCTTCTACGCTTCTAACCAGTCCATCCCCCACAGTTACTAATTTTTGTACCACTAGCCCCTCCCTCCTAGATTGTAAGCTCCAAAGCTCTGGGCAATCCTATCCCTCTTGTATTGAACTGTATTGTTGCTGTATTTTCTCCCGAAATATTGTAAAGTGCTGAGCAAACGATTGGCACCATAAATCCTGAATAATAATAATAAATAATACATTACTACTAATACTCTTGTTGAAATGATCACCTGATACAAACTGAATCCGTAGTCACATGCACATGCTCAGTTGGGTGTGTAATGCTGGGGAAATTTTGTTTTTATTTCTTGGGAGGGTGCATGTGACCAGCACAGGACCAATCAGCACTGTCCAGATAGAGGTCAGGGGTTCTGCATCCTCCTAGAACAGAAAGAAAACTCTTCTTACAAGCTTTAACCAGTGCTCTGCTGGACACTGATAGAAGTTACAAGACTGCTCTATACTGCTGACGAGTAAAGGTATTTATCAGTATATATTTGTTAAAATAATTACGTTTCCATGTTCTGTGTACTGTGGGAGAGCGGATATAGTGAATGCGGGGTCCGGGGAGAGCGGACATAGTGAATGCGGGGTCCGTCCGGGGAGAGCGGATATAGTGAATGCGGGGTCCGGGGAGAGCGGACATAGTGAATGCGGGGTACGGGGAGACCGGATACAGTGAATGCGGGGTCCGGGGAGAGCGGATATAGTGAATGCGGGGTCCGGGGAGAGCGGATATAGTGAATGCGGGGTCCGGGGAGAGCGGATATAGTGAATGGGGGTCCGGGGAGAGCGGATATAGTGAATGCGGGGTCCGGGGAGAGCGGATACAGTGAATGCGGGGTCCGGGGAGAGCGGATATAGTGAATGCGGGGTCTGGGGAGAGCGGATATAGTGAATGCGGGGTCCGGGGAGAGCGGATATAGTGAATGCGGGGTCCGGGGAGACCGGATATAGTGATTGCGGGGTCCGGGGAGACCGGATATAGTGAATGCGGGGTCCGGGGAGAGCGGATACAGTGAATGCGGGGTCCGGGGAGAGCGGATACAGTGAATGCGGGGTCCGGGGAGAGCGGATATAGTGAATGCAGGGTCCGGGGAGAGCGGCTATAGTGAATGCGGGATCCGGGGAGAGCGGATATAGTGAATGCGGGGTCTGGGGAGGGCGGATATAGTGAATGCGGGGTCCGGGGAGAGCGGATATAGTGAATGGGGGGTCCGGGGAGAGCGGATATAGTGAATGCGGGGTCCGGGGAGAGTGGATACAGTGAATGCGGGATCCGGGGAGAGCGTATATAGTGAATGCGGGGTCCAGGGAGGGCGGATATAGTGAATGCGGGGTCCGGGGAGAGGGGATATAGTGAATGCGGGGTCCGGGGAGAGCGGATATAGTGAATGTGGGGTCCCGGGAGAGCGGATATAGTGAATGCGGGGTCCGGGGGAGAGCGGATATAGTGAATGCGGGGTCCGGGGAGAGCGGATATAGTGAATGCGGGGTCCGGGGAGAGCGGATATAGTGAATGCGGGATCCGGGGAGAGCGGATATAGTGAATGCGGGGTCCAGGGAGAGCGGATATAGTGAATGCGGGGTCCGGGGAGAGCGGATATAGTGAATGCGGGGCCCGGGGAGAGCGGATATAGTGAATGCGGGGTCCGGGAAGAGAGCGGATATAGTGAATGCGGGGTCCCGGGAGAGCGGATATAGTGTATGCGGGGTCCGGGGAGAGCGGATATAGTGAATGCGGGGTCCGGGGAGAGCGGATATAGTGAATGCAGGGGTCCGGGGGAGAGCGGATATAGTGAATGCGGGGTCCCGGGAGAGCGGATATAGTGTATGCGGGGTCCGGGGAGAGCGGATATAGTGAATGCGGGGCCCGGGGAGAGCGGATATAGTGAATGCGGGGCCCGGGGAGAGCGGATATAGTGAATGCGGGGTCCGGGAGAGAGCGGGTATAGTGAATGTGGGGTCCCGGGAGAGCGGATATAGTGTATGCGGGGTCCGGGGAGAGCGGATATAGTGAATGCGGGGTCCGGGGAGAGAGAGGATATAGTGAATGCGGGGTCCGGGGAGAGCGGATATAGTGAATGCGGGGTCCGGGGAGAGCGGATATAGTGAATGCGGGGTCCGGGGAGAGAGGATATAGTGAATGCGGGGTCCGGGGAGAGCGGATATAGTGAATGCGGGGTCCGGGGAGAGCGGATATAGTGAATGCGGGGGTCCAGAGTTTAGTAACACTTTAGGGGCCCATTCACACTAGGAACTGTATGTGAATCTCACAGGAACAAGCTTCATATTCCTGTGCAAATCACATGCAGCTCTGTTCATATTTATTTGTTGTTCCGAATTGATATTCATATTTTCAGAAGTTAATTCCGAACATTTGGATTTATTCACCAATACCAAGTATGCCACATATTATAGAACTTAAAAAAACCCTGTGAAGTGACAAATGAAAAAATACAAATGAATTTGTTGCTTTTGTTTTAATCTATTTCAGATTCGTTGACATTTGTTACTATTGCGATTGAGTGATATCTCTCAGAAGTGAACCCCCCCCCTCCCCCCCCCTCACATTTGTGTCAATATTTGATTTCTCTCTTTTCATGTGACAACACTGAAGAAATGACACGTTGCTACAATGTGACGTAGTCAGTGTACAGTTTTGTATAACATGGAAATTTGCTGTCCCTTCAAAATAACTCAACACACCGCTATTAATGTCTAAAGCGCTGGCAACAAAAGTGACTCCACCCCTAAGTGACAAGGTCCAAATTGGGCCCAATCAGCCATTTTCCCTCCCCGGTGTCATGTGACTGGTTAGTGTTACAAGGTCTCAGGTGTGAATGGGGAGCAGGTGGGTTACATTTGGTGTTATCGCTCTCACTCTCTCATACTGGTCACTGGAAGTTCCACATGGCACCTCATGGCAAAGAACTCTCTGAGGATCTGGAAACATTTTTTTCTCTACATAAAGATGGCCGAGGCTATAAGAAGATTGCCAAAACCCTGAAACTGAGCTGCAGCACGGTGGCCAAGACCATACAGCGGTGTAACAGGACAGGTTCCACTCAGAACAGGCCTCGCCATGGGCGACCAAAGAAGTTGAGTGCACGTGCTCAGCGTCATATCCAGAGGTTGTCTTTGGGAAATAGACGTATGAGTGCTGCCAGCATTGCTGCAGAGGGTGTAGGGGTGGTGGGGGGTCAGCCTGTCAGTGCTCAGACCATACGCTGCACACTGCATCACATTGGTCTGCATTGCTGTCGTCCCAGAAGGAAGCCTCTTCTAAAGATGATGCACAAGAAAGCTGCAAACAGTTTGCTGAAGACAAGCAGACTAAGGACATGGATTACTGGAACCGTGTCCTGTGCTCTGATGACACCAACATCAACTGATTGGGTTCAGATGGGTGTCAGGTGTGTGTGGCGGCAACTAGGTGAAGAGTACAAAGACAAAGTGTGTCTTGCCTACAGTCAAGCATGGTGGTGGGAGTGCGATGGTCTGGGGCCGCATGGTGGTGGGAGTGTCATGGTCTGAGGCCACATGGTGGTGGGAGTGTCATGGTCTGGGGCCGCATGGTGGTGGGAGTGTCATGGTCTGAGGCCACATGGTGGTGGGAGTGTCATGGTCTGGGGGCCGCATGGGTGGTGGGAGTGTCATGGTCTGGGGCCGCATGGTGGTGGGAGTGTCATGGTCTGAGGCCACATGGTGGTGGGAGTGTCATGGTCTGGGGCCACATGGTGGTGGGAGTGTCATGGTCTGAGGCCGCATGGTGGTGGGAGTGTCATGGTCTGGAGCCGCATGGTGGTGGGAGTGTCATGGTCTGGGGCCGCATGGTGGTGGGATAGTGTCATGGTCTGAGGGGAGTGTCATGGTCTGAGGCCGCATGGTGGTGGGAGTGTCATGGTCTGAGGCCACATGGTGGTGGGAGTGTCATGGTCTGAGGCCGCATGGTGGTGGGAGTGTCATGGGTCTGGGGCTGCATGAGTGCTGCCGGCACTGGGGGGTACAGTTCATTGAGGGAACCATGAATGCCAACATGTACTGTGACATACTGAAGCAGAGCATGATCCCCTCCCTTCAGAGACTGGGCCGCAGGGCAGTATTCCAACATAACAACCCCAAACACACCTCCAAGACCACCACGGCCTTGCTGAAGAAGCTGAGGGTAAAGGTGATGGACTGGCCAAGCATGTCTCCAGACCTGAACCCTGTTGAGCATCTGTGGGGCATCCTCAAATGGATGGTGGAGGAGCACAAGGTCTCCAACATCCACCAGCTCCGTGATGTCATCATGGAGGAGTGGAAAAGGACTCCAGTGGCAACCTGTGAAGCTCTGGTGACCTCCATGCCCAAGAGGGTGAAGACAGTGCTGGAAAATAATGGTGGCCACACATAATATTGACACTTTGGGCCCAATATGGACCTTGTCAATTCTTCATTCAGTGTTGTCACATGAAAAGATAGAATCAAATATTTACAAAAATGTGAGGGGAGGACTCACTTCTGGGTGATACTTTACATCCGAATCTCTGAAAAATGGAACATTTTGATTGATAACAAAACAATTTGCACATGTCTACTAATCGTTTCAGTTTTTTGGTTTTTGGGGGGGGGGGGGGGGGGGCACACTCTAATTTTATATTTTAGAGCTTGCGTGCACTCCAGCTACTCTGAAAATATTTGCTTTTGTCTCTCATACATGGCTTTGTGGTTCTATTGTTCTTGTTTGGCTAATGTGGGTTTGAGGTCTTTTGATGCTCTCTGGGTTGATGGTTTGTTCAGCTTCATGCAGCTGAGTAGAATCGCACAACAAGCTATGCTCTGTGACTTGACTTACCTGTCTGGCAGTTTGTATGAGGTTGGATAGCTTTAGCTTTTTTTTTTTTTTGTTATTTTACTGAAAGTTCACTGGGGGGTTTTAAGCCCCTATTGCAAGACGAGTTGTGCAGTAAGGTAGCAAACTTGCCCTCTGGAAGACATACCCTTCCCCCCCTTCCCACCTTCAAGACCCAGGCACTACTTTAACTGGCAATTGCACGGTCATGTAACACTACCCAAATGAAATGGGCAGCACAGTGGCTAAATAGATAGCACTTCCGCCTGCCAGTATTTGGGTCGTTGGTTCAAAATGCAACCACAGCATCACCTGCCTGGAGTTTGCATGTTCTCCTTATGCCTGCGTGAGTTTCCTCCCACGTTCCAAAGACATGCTGGGAGGTGAATTGGCTCCTGTCTAAATTGTCCCTAATATGTGTATGTATGAATGTGAGTTAGGGACCTTAGATAGTACGCTCCTCGGGGGCGGGGTCTGATGTGAATGTACAATATATATGTAAAGTGCTGCGTAAATTGATGGCGCTATATAAGTACCTGAAATAAATAAAATATAATTTTCTTCACACAAATAGAGCTTTCTTTTGCTGGTAATTTGATAGCCACTGGAGTTTTTTTTTGTGCTATAAAATAAATACCAAACATTTAAAACATTTTTTTTTTTACTTTCTATATAAAATATATCCAACAATAAAAAAAAATATTCATAAATTTAGGCCAAAATGTATTGTTCTACATATACAATCCCAATAAATGTAAATTGATTGGTTTGTGTAAAAATGATAGCATCTACAAACTATCATTTTTTTTTTTCTAGTAATTGCGGCAATCACCAACTTATAGCGAAACTGGGATAGTACGGTGGGCAATCTGACACTATCTAAAGCTGGGGTGAGAACTGACTAATTGACACTGACATCTCCAGTGACATTAAGACAGTGATCACTGATAATACTATACACTGACACTGTACTAATGGCACTGGCCAGGAAGGGGTTAACATCTGGGGCCATCAAAGGGTTAACTGTGTGCTGGGAGTGTTATTATGTGTGTACCATGCTGCATTTTACTAGGGGATGTGCTAGTTTTTATTCCTTTGCATCCCCGCTGACAGGAGAGAGATCTGTGTTGTTTACATCCACAGATCTCTCTACTGTCAGTTGCCCCTCCATACACAGGGCCCAGGCATGAATCACTAGCCAGGACCTGGTGATTGACATGTAAGGGAGCCAATGACAGTGCAGGTAGGCAGGCACGCATGCGCACCCCCTACCCAGAAAAGCAGAATCAAATATACACTATATTGGCAAAAGTATCGGGCCGCCGGCCTTTCCACGCACATGACCTTTAATGGCCCCCCAGTCTTAGTCCGTAGGGTTCAATATTGAGTTGGCCCCGCCCTTTGCAGCTATAACAGCTTCAACTCTTCTGGGAAGGCCGTCCACAAGGTTTAGGAGGGTGTCTATGGGAAGGTTGGACCATTCTTCCAGAAGCACATTTGTCAGGTCAGGCACTGATGTCGGGGGAGGGGGCCTGGCTCACAGTCTCCACTCTAATTCATCCCAAAGGTGTTCTATGGGGTTGAGGTCAGGACTCTGTGCAGGACAGTCAAGTTCCTCCACCCCAAACTGGCTCCTCCATGTCTTTATGGACCTTGCTTTGTGCACTGGTGCGCAGTCATGTTGGAACAGGAAGGGGCCATCCCCAAACTCCTCCCACAAAGTTGAGAGCATGAAATTGTCCAAAATGTCACCTTAAGAGTTCCCTTCACTGGAACTAGGGGGCCAAGCCCAACCCCTGAAAAACAACCCCACACCATAACTTAATCCCCCCTCCACCAAACATTACACTTGGCACAATGCAGTCAGGCAAGTACCGTTCTCCTGGTCACCACCAAACCCAGACACGTCCATCGGATTTCCAGACAGAGAAGCGTGATTGGTCACTCCAGAGAACACGTCTCCCCTGCTCTAGAGTCCAGTGGTGGCGTGCTTTACACCACGGCATCCGACGCTTTGCATTGCACTTGGTGATGGAAGGCTTGGATGCAGCTGCTCGGCCATGGAAACCCATTCCATGAAGCTCTCTACGCACTGTTGTTGGCTCATCTGAAGGCCACACCAAGTTTGGAGGTCTTTAGCTATTGACTCTGCAGACAGTTGACGACTTTTGCGCACTGTGCGCTTCAGCATGCGCTGACCCCGCCCTGTCATGTGACGTGGCCTACCACTTGGGGGCTGAGTGGCTGTTGTTCCCAGTGGCTTCCACTTTGTTTATAATCCCACTAACAGTTGAGCGTGGAATATTTAGTAGCCAGGAGTGAAATGTCACGGATGGACTTATTGCCCAGGTGGCCACCTATCACGGGACCACGCCTGGAGTCACTGAGCTCCTGAGAGCGACCCATTCTTTCACCAATGTTTGTAGAAGCCGTCTGCATGCCTAGGGGCTTGATTGTATACACCTGTGTCCATGGAGGGGATTGGAACACCTGAATCACATGATATGGAGGGGATTGGAACACCTGAATCACATGATATGGAGGGGGGTTGGAACCCCTGAATCACATGATTGGGAGGGGATTGGAACACCTGAATCACATGATGTGGAGGGGATTGGAGCACCTGAATCACATGATTTGGAGGGATTGGAACACCTGAATCACATGATTGGGAGGGGATTGGAACACCTAAAATCACATGATATGGAGGGGATTGGAACACCTAAATCACATGATATGAAGGGGATTAGAGCACCTGAATCACATGATTTGGAGGGCTTGCCCAATACTTTTGACAATGTAATGTATATGCTGTATGTGATCCTGCACAGAGTGGCTGTAGGAAAGCTACATGTTCCAGTCTGGTTTTTAGAAACAAACTTGTGTCTGATTACCACACATACATACCACAAAAAATATTTGCAAATAAAGAACAGGCTAAAATTCGGGCAATTGTCGTCTGAAGGCCAGAACAGTCAAAGTGCAGTTAAAACCCAGGTTTGGACTGAACTGTTGATTCATCCCTAGTAGTTACCAAAAGTTTTAAACTAGGATTGTGTACATTTACAGTTCATTTTTAGACCCCCTTTGACCCATGAAGAGGCAGAACTCTGGTACAACTCTGGCTCAAGGACCGCTGATGGTGAGACGCTGATGGTGAGACAGCAGTCGCAGGGGCACGGTGGGGTATGAGTGCCAGCGATCAGTCCAGTAGCAGTGGGTAAGCTGATGAGTTGTAAGCAAGGAGCCGGGTTCTGATGTAGCCGTTGCTGGATGGATGGATACCTGAGAGCAGCGTGCTGAGGATGCAGGATCAGACGAGTCGGGTTCTGATGTAGCCGTGCGGGATGGATGGATACCTGAGAGCAGCGTGCTGAGGATGCAGGATCAGACGAGCCGGGTTCTGCTGTAGCTATGCTGAATGGATGGATACCTGAGAGCTGCGTGCTGAGGATGCAGGATCAGACGAGCCGGGTTCTGATGTAGCCGTGCTGAATGGATGGATACCTGAGAGCAGCGTGCTGAGGATGCAGGATCAGATGAGCCGGGTTCTGATGTAGCCGTGCTGAATGGATGGATACCTGAGAGCAGCGTGCTGAGGATGCAGGATCAGACGAGCCGGGTTCTGATGTAGCCGTGCTGAATGGATGGATACCTGAGAGCAGCGTGCTGAGGATGCAGGATCAGACGAGTCGGGGTTCTGATGTAGCCGTGCTGAATGGATACCTGAGAGCAGCATGCTGAGGATGCAGGATCAGACGAGCCGGGTTCTGATGTAGCCGTGCTGAATGGATACCTGAGAGCAGCATGCTGAGGATGCAGGGTCAGACGAGTCGGGTTCTGATGTAGCTGTGCTGAATGGATGGATACCTGAGAGCAGCGTGCTGAGGATGCAGGATCAGACGAGTCGGGTTCTGATGTAGCCGTGCTGAATGGATGGATACCTGAGAGCAGCGTGCTGAGGATGCAGGATCAGACGAGTCGGGTTCTGATGTAGCCGTGCTGAATGGATGGATACCTGAGAGCAGCGTGCTGAGGATGCAGGGTCAGACGAGTCGGGTTCTGATGTGTAGCTGTGCTGAATGGATGGATACCTGAGAGCAGCGTGCTGAGGATGCAGGGTCAGACGAGTCGGGTTCTGATGTAGCCGTGCTGAATGGATACCTGAGAGCAGCATGCTGAGGATGCAGGATCAGAGGAGTCGGGTTCTGATGTAGCCGTGCTGAATGGATGGATACCTGAGAGCAGTGTGCTGAGGATGCAGGGTCAGACGAGTCGGGTTCTGATGTAGCCATGCTGAATGGATGGATACCTGAGAGCAGCGTGCTGAGGATGCAGGGTCAGACGAGTCGGGTTCTGATGTAGCCGTGCTGGATGGATGGATACCTGAGAGCAGCGTGCTGAGGATGTAGGATCAGAGGAGTCGGGTTCTGATGTAGCCGTGCTGAATGGATGGATACCTGAGAGCAGCGTGCTGAGGATGCAGGATCAGATGAGCCGGGTTCTGATGTAGCCGTGCTGAATGGATGGATACCTGAGAGCAGCATGCTGAGGATGCAGCAGGATCAGACGAGCCGGGTTCTGATGTAGCTATGCTGAATGGATGGATACCTGAGAGCAGCGTGCTGAGGATGCAGGATCAGACGAGCCGGGTTCTGATGTAGCCGTGCTGGATGGATGGATACCTGAGAGCAGCGTGCTGAGGATGCAGGGTCAGACGAGTCGGGTTCTGATGTAGCCGTGTGCTGGATGGATGGATACCTGAGAGCAGCGTGCTGAGGATGCAGGGTCAGACGAGTCGGGTTCTGATGTAGCCGTGCTGGATGGATGGATACCTGAGAGCAGCGTGCTGAGGATGCAGGATCAGACGAGCCGGGTTCTGATGTAGCCGTGCGGGATGGATGGATACCTGAGAGCAGCATGCTGAGGATGCAGGATCAGACGAGCGGGTTCTGATGTAGCCATGCTGAATGGATGGATACCTTGAGAGCAGCGTGCTGAGGATGCAGGGTCAGACGAGCCTGGTTCTGATGTAGCCGTGCTGGATGGATGGATACCTTGGAGCAGCGTGCTGAGGATGCAGGGTCAGACGAGTCGGGTTCTGATGTAGCTATGCTGAATGGATGGATACCTGAGAGCAGCGTGCTGAGGATGCAGGATCAGACGAGCCGGGTTCTGATGTAGCCGTGCGGGATGGATGGATACCTGAGAGCAGCATGCTGAGGATGCAGGATCAGACGAGCCGGGTTCTGATGTAGCCATGCTGAATGGATGGATACCTGAGAGCAGCGTGCTGAGGATGCAGGGTCAGACGAGTCGGGTTCTGATGTAGCCGTGCTGAATGGATGGATACCTGAGAGCAGCGTGCTGAGGATGCAGGGTCAGACGAGCCGGGTTCTGATGTAGCCGTGCTGGATGGATGGATACCTTGGAGCAGCGTGCTGAGGATGCAGGGTCAGACGAGTTCGGGTTCTGATGTAGCCGTGCTGAATGGATGGATACCTGAGAGCAGCGTGCTGAGGATGCAGGATCAGACGAGCCGGGTTCTGATGTAGCCGTGCTGAATGGATGGATACCTGAGAGCAGCGTGCTGAGGATGCAGGATCAGACGAGCCGGGTTCTGATGTAGCTATGCTGAATGGATGGATACCTGAGAGCAGCGTGCTGAGGATGCAGGATCAGACGAGCCGGGTTCTGATGTAGCCGTGCTGAATGGATGGATACCTGAGAGCAGCGTGCTGAGGGTGCAGGGTCAGACGAGCCGGGTTCGGTATCGGTCAGGCAGATCAGGCTTACAGCGGCAGGAGGAAGAGTAGTCGGGTCACAAGCCAGGTCAGCAATGGAGGATCAATCAGAAAGGAGCGGAGACAGAAGAATAATCCAAGGCAAGCCGGAGGTCAGGGCAGGAAGCAATCAAAGCGGAGATCAGGACCAGGCTGGTTCGGTATCAGGAGACAATCACAGGAATCAGGGAACACGAGCAGGGAAAGACCATACAGCAATGGGACAACTACTGCAGCCAGTTTAAATAGTCCTTTTGGCGCCAGCATTAGTGACATGTGCTCACCCGTATATGGGAGTGCGCAGAACGCGTGCGCCTGTGTCCAAGTGCCTGTACATCTGTTTGGCTCGTAAGGACTCTGCGCATGCGCATATTTGTGCGCTGTGGAACTTCACCTGCACTATGGGCAGGCCTTTCCTGACACTGTGATTGGGAGGGTGTGTGTGTACAGAGGCAGGCTGTGATTGGGAGGGTGTGTGTACCAAAGGCAGGCTGTGATTGGAAGGGGGTATGTTCAAATAGGCAGGCTGTGATTGGTAGGTGGTGTGTGCCAGAGGCAGGCTGTAATAAGTAGGGTGTGTGTGTGCCACTGGCAGGCTGTGATTGGGAGGGGATGTGTGCCAGAGGCAGGCTGTGATTGGTAGGGGGCTTTGTACCAGAGGAAGACTGTGATTAGTAGGGGTGTGTACCAGAGACAGGCTGTGATTGGGAGGGGGTGTGTGCCAACGGCAGGCTTGTGATTGGTAGGGGGTGTACCAGAGGCAGGTTGTGATTGGGAGGGGGTGTGTGCCAGAGACAAGCTGTGATTAGTAGGGTGTGTGTGCCACTGGCAGGCTGTGATTGGGAGGGGGCGTGTGCCAGAGACAAGCTGTGATTAGTAGGGTGTGTGTGCCACTGGCAGGCTGTGATTGGGAGGGGGTTGTGCCAGAGAGGAAGACTGTGATTGGTAGGGGGTGTACCAGAGGCAGGCTGTGATTAGTAGGGGTGTGTACCAGAGGCAGGCTGTGATTGGGAGGGGGGGCGTTGTGCCAGAGATAAGCTGTGATTAGTAGGGTGTGTGTGCCACTGGCAGGCTGTGATTGGGAGGGGGTGTGCCAGAGGAAGACTGTGATTGGTAGGGGGGTATACCAGAGGCAGGCTGTGATTAGTAGGGGTGTGTACCAGAGACAGGCTGTGATTGGGAGGGGTGTGTGTGCCAAAGGCAGGCTGTGATTTGAAAGGGTTGTGTTCAACAGGCAAGCTGTGATTGGTAGGGGGTTTGTTTGCCAGAGGCAGGGCTGTGATTGGTAGGGGGTGTACCAGAGGCAGGCTGTGATTAGTAGGGGGTGTGTACCAGAGACAGGCTGTGATTGGGAGGGGGTGTGTGCCAACGGCAGGCTGTGATTGGTAGGGGGTGTACCAGAGGCAGGTTGTGATTAGTAGGGGTGTGTACCAGAGGCAGGCTGTGATTGGGGACGGGGGTGTGTGCCAGAGACAAGCTGTGATTAGTAGGGTGTGTGTGCCACTGGCAGGCTGTGATTGGGAGCGGGGGGGTGTGCCAGAGGCAGGCTGTGATTAGTAGGGGGTGTGTACCAGAGACAGGCTTTGATTGGGAAGGGTTGTGTTCAACAGGCAAGCTGTGATTGGTAGGGGGTGTGTGCCAGAGGCAGGCTGTGATTGGTAGGGGGTGTGTGCCAGAGGCAGGCTGGTGATTGGGAGTGGGGGGTGTGCCAGAGGCAGGTTGTGATTGGGAGGGGGTTGTGTGCCAGAGGCAGGCTGTGTGATTAGTAGGGGTGTGTACCAGAGACAGGCTTTGATTGGGAAGGGTTGTGTTCAACAGGCAAGCTGTGATTGGTAGGGGGGTGTGCCAGAGGCAGGCTGTGATTGGTAGGGGGTGTGTGCCAGAGGCAGGCTGTGATTGGTAGGGGGTGTGTGCCAGAGGCAGGCTGTGATTGGGAGGGGGGGTGTGCCAGAGGCAGGTTGTGATTGGAGGGGGTGTGTGCCAGAGGCAGGCTATGATTGGTAGGGGTGTGTGTGTACCAGAGACAGGCTTTGATTGGGAGGGGATGTGGCCGAAGCAGGCTATGATTGGGAGGATGTGTGTGGCCGTAGCAGGCTGTGATTGGAAGGGGGTGTGGTAGCTGGACAAACCAACCAATCTAGATATGCTGTGTGTCTGCACAGTGTCCTTTGCCTCTGAATGGGCAGCAAAAAGATTAAAACTGACCACCTAACACAGATCAGTTACTGTACTTTGTGTGGTCAGTTTAGAACCAGGAAGAAAGGTGACTGGCAGGAACACCCAGGAACTTCAGATTGAAGAAGGACATGATAATGATAGAGACTGTTATTTATTACATACACATAGGTGAACACACACGCAAAAATACATAATTAGGAGAACATGCTGTAAAGATGGAGTCAGATCAACATATCATCCCTATATACTGTTCATATATTGAAATTTCCTCTTGTATAATTGTTCTGTACTTGTTTTCTGTTCTTGAATTCTTTTGGTATTATATAACATTTGTAACCTATTTTGTATCTTGTTGTTGTTGGGACAGCTGTGGTTTCTATTTTTTGAGAAATGGTTTGGCTGGACATTCATGATTATTTCTCAGAAATCACTATTGCCCGTGATAGGAAACCATTATGTGAGAGTACTATATAAACATCATTTCATGGAACCATCTTTTGTCACATTGTCTTCTGCCTGCCTTGTGACCCAATGTACATTGTGATCCTCCAAGTAAACGTATATCAGATGAATGCAACAAAATTGGCGTTGATGTCCTTCATTCAAAAGGCGTACTTAACGCCTTGACGCCGACGTCACATAAATATGCGGCGTCACAGAACTGGGCTTTTTTTCCGCGTGGCCGCATATTTGTGTACTTGTTTTTGTGCTGGGAGCGCGCCGCTCGGTGCCATTTTTGGAATGCATTTACAAATATATGTAAAAATATACCGTATATACTCGAGTATAAGCCGAGTTTTTCAGCACATTTTTTGTGCTGAAAAAACGGCCCCCTCGGCTTATACTCGAGTCAACGTCTGCAGATGACATGCCGTCCCTGTCATCTGGACACACCCCCGGGATCAATCCTTGCCGGTGATTGGCCGCCGGAACTGTAGCTCAGGAAAGGCACACAGGCGCCCAATCACCGGCGAGGAGGTGGAGCTTGGAGAGGAGGAGCCGAGCGGCACCGCGAAGATCGAGCGAGTGAAGAGGAGGAGAGCGGCCGGAGAAGGAAGACATCTGACCGGTAAGTGTGTACCATGGGAGAGGGAGGGAGCGAGGGAGCCCAGGCTGGAGCAGGGGTCACCAACGATGGGGCACTATTCCTCCCCCCACTGACACCAACGATGGGGCACTATTCCTCCCACACTGACACCAATGATGGGGCACTATTCCTCCCCCACTGACACCAACGATGGGGCACTATTCCTCCCCCCACTGACACCAATGATGGGGCACTATTCCTCCCACTGATACCTATGATGGGGCACTATTCCTCCCCCCACTGACACCAATGATGGGGCACTATTCCTCCCACTGACACCAATGATGGGGCACTATTCCTCCCCCCACTGACACCAACGATGGGGCAGTATTCCTCCCCCCCACTAACACCAACGATGGGGCACTATTCCTCCCACACTGACACCAATGATGGGGCACTATTCCTCCCCCCACTGACACCAACGATGGGGCACTATTCCACCCCCCACTGACACCAACGATGGGGCACTATTCCACCCCCCACTGACACCAACGATGGGGCACTATTCCTCCCCCCACTGACACCAACGATGGGGCACTATTCCTCCCCCCACTGACACCAACGATGGGGCACTATTCCTCCCCCACTGACACCAACGATGGGGCACTATTCCTCCCCCCACTGACACCAACGATGGGGCACTATTCCACCCCCCCACTGACACCAACGATGGGGCACTATTCCTCCCCCCCACTGACACCAACGATGGGGCACTATTCCTCCCCCCACTGACACCAACGATGGGGCACTATTCCTCCCCCACTGACACCAACGATGGGGCACTATTCCCCCCCACTGACACCAATGATGGGGCACTATTCCTCCCACACTGATACCAATGATGGGGCACTATTCCTCCCACTGATACCAACGATGGGGCACTATTCCTCCCACTGACTGACACCAACGATGGGGCACTATTCCTCCCACTGACACCAACGATGGGGCACTATTCCTCCCCTCTCAGGTTATACTTGAGTCAATAGTTTTTCCCAGTTTTTTGTGGTAAAATTAGGTACTTTTATACTTTTAGATATGTTAAAAAAAAATCTGAAGAATATATATGAAAAAAATATATTTAAAAATATATTTTTCATATATTTTGTAACATCTAAAAAACATATTTCAATATGCAGTGTATATATACAGTCAGGTCCATAAATATTGGGACATGGACACAATTCTAACATTTTTGGCTCTATACACCACAATGGATTTGAAATGAAACAAACAAGATGTGCTTTAACTGCAGACTTTCAGCTTTAATTTGAGGGTATTTACATCCAAATCAGGTGAACGATGTAGGAATTACAACAGTTTGCATATGTGCCTCCCACTTGTTAAGGGACCAAAAGTAATGGGACAATTGGCTTCTCAGCTGTTCCATGGCCAGGTGTGTGTTATTCCCTCATTATCCCAATTACAATGAGCAGATAAAAGGTCCAGAGTTCATTTCAAGTGTGCAATTTGCGTTTGGAATCTGTTGCTGTCAACTCTCAAGATGAGATCCAAAGAGCTGTCACTATCAGTGAAGCCTTCATTAGGCTGAAAAAAACAAAACAAACCCATCAGAGAGATAGCAAAAACATTAGGCGTGGCCAAAACAACTGTTTGGAACATTCTTAAAAAGAAGGAACGCACCGGTGAGCTCAGCAACACCAAAAGACCCGGAAGACCACAGAAAACAACTGTGGTGGATGACTGAAGAATTCTTTCCCTGGTGAAGAAAACACCCTTCACAACAGTTGGCCAGATCAAGAACACTCTCCAGGAGGTAGGTGTATGTGTGTCAAAGTCACCAATCAAGAGAAGACTTCACCAGAGTGAATACAGAGGGTTCACCACAAGATGGAAACCATTGGTGAGCCTCAAACACAGGAAGGCCAGATTAGAGTTTGCCAAACAACATGTAAAAAAGCCTTCACAGTTCTGGAACAACATCCTATGGACAGATGAGACCGACATCAACTTGTACCAGAGTGATGGGAAGAGAAGAGGATGGAGAAGGAACTGCTCATGATCCTCAGCATACCACCTCATCAGTGATCATGGTGGTGGTAGTGTCATGGCTGTGGGCATGTATGGCTGCCAATGGAACTGCTTCTCTTGTATTTATTGATGATGTGACTGCTGACAGAAGCAGCCGGATGAATTGTGAAGTGTTTCGGGAATATTATCGGCTCATATTCAGCCAAATGCTTCACAACTCATTGGACGCTTCACAGTGCAGATGGACAATGACCCAAAGCAGACTGCAAAAGACACCAAAGAAGTGGAATGTTCTGCAATGGCCAAGTCCATCACCTGACCTGAATCCGATTGAGCATTTCACTTGCTGAAGACAAAACTGAAGGGAAAATGCCCCAAGAACAAGCAGGAACTGAAGACAGTTGCAGTAGAGGCCTGGCAGAGCATCACCAGGGATGACACCCAGCGTCTGGGGATGTCTATGCGTTCCACACTTCAGGCTGTCATTGACTGCAA